TTTCCAACCTAGTGATTCTGTGATTCTGTTTCAGATAAAGGAGAGTGTCTGTAATTAGGGTTGCACATAGTATGATGAGAAACATCCCAGCCAAACACATATCAGTCACAACTGGTCTTGCCTGCTGAGTCAATGACTTAGCACTAATGGAGCCTTGGACAAGGTCCGGCTCTTTGATTTACTGCCACCCTTGGCATAGGTTGGACAGGGACTGGCACGTTTGTTCCTGACCCGTCTGGCTGCCAGAACACCCCGGCAGCGGGATGGTGTTGCTTGACTGCACCTTACCAGGTCCTGGAACCGCACAGGGCACGTCCAGCCAGCCCAAAGCCACATACAGCACGGCCACACACAAAGGACCACGTACGCCCAATTTCTTAGCTTAACTTTGCCCACTTATCCAGGCTTAAAATAACAACAGATGTGGAACTAATTTTCTAGAAAAATCCAAATGCTTGAATAAAAACCATTTTGAAAACTTGTAAGCAGGAAATGAAAGTACCATATAGAGAGCTATTGTCACATTCAGCAGGCCTGCGCTTTATCATAGACCAAGAAAAAATACTCCTCCTCCATTTTAGGGAAGTATATCTACCTTAAGGTGTTTTCCAGGATTATTGACATTTAGCACAGGGCTCTTTCAATTTGATCCCTAAATGTGGTGAGACATGATCAGGCATAAAGATTAACAATCTCTGTTCGTATTCCCTGTGTGGTATGTGATTCGCAGCATGCCCTGGATGGAAGTCCATAGCTCGAGTTGCACCATGGAACACAGTTCTGGAACAGACGTAAGCTATGTCTCCACACCTTGGGACCAGCACAATTGGAGGCCTGAGCCCTTGCTGTTTGCCCCTGGGCAGACTGGGGGGGACGCGGTGAGGTACAGCCTGAGCACCCACCTTCCTGATCCTAAGCAGCTCCATTAAGTAAAGGTTTAAACCATTGCCATAGCAGGAGGTGGAGCCTGGAGATGGAGCCATGATGAGGCCACCAGGAACAACACCTACAAAGGCGAACTTTTGTAGCACTTTTCACTTCTGCTTGTATTTTCAGTCTGCAGAGAGAACAATACAAGCACATTAATACACAGTTTTGTGTATTTTTTCCTCGAGCTTGCTGGTAGACACATTCAGAAGACTAGCAGCAATTTCTTTTCACACCACCAATTAAAAAAGAAAATGTGCTGTGAAGGCAGGAAAGATCAGGAGTTCACCAGCAGAAGAGAATAGATAAATGACAGGGCTCAGCTAAGGCCCTCACACAGGGACACAGCTAATGGTAGGTATTTTCTCTCTCCTGTTGCTTGTGCAAGAAGCCTGTTAGGGTTCTCCTGGTCATACATAAAACAACCAACCCAAATCCACTTACAGCATGGACACACAAAGCTGTGCCAGCACCTGTAAGACAAAGTGTGATACAACAGCAGGAGGAAAACCGCACCAAGTGTAATCTCTGCTCCTAGGGATACCAGCTCTGTTACACCCCTTGAAAGAGCAGCTCCATGATACAAAAACAAAGCAGCTAATCCATTTGCACTGGTGCACAAAAATAACAAAAACAAAAGAGCAACTCTGCCTAGGTCAGTGTGTCTGTGACATTTTTAGCGCGGTGAGAAGTGATCCAAAATAGGATACACACACAAGACACTGTAGCTAGGGTTGTGCTACACCCACCTCTTTGACCTTCAGGATCCCCTGTTTCTAGCAGCATACCTCTCCCACAAGCATAGTCCCATGTACTCAAGAGTTCCTCCATTGGAGTATGGACAACAGAATCAGGGCATTAGCGCTGCTGGCTGGGAATGAGGGGTGTGTATGGGCTACGTGCACTTTGGGTGTAAAGTACCTGCTTGAACAGTTTTTCACAGGCACTTGCCCTGCTTAAGATCTCACTAGCATTCACATATAGACTCCCACTTCATTGAGAAAGGTTAAAGTGTTTGCATTTTATTGAGAAGACTTGTTCCGTTTCCAGTTATACTTTTCAGTGTCCTTCAAAACAAAGAGCCCCCAGTTTCTTAACAGCACCATCAGTCTACCACAAAAAAAAGCAAATCAAAACCAAAAAAGTTCTGTGATGTGATATAACATAAAGACACAAATACAGCAAATACATCAGACAAACATTTACATAAGGTTATGTATGTTGCTATAAAACTGGTGGTATGCAGTTAAAAGAATCAATAAGATTACCAGGTCTACTAGAGGCTTAAAGCAAGTCTGCTTAGGCTGTATCTATATTGTCATGCTGGTTTTAGACATGACTTGGCACTCAGGACCTAGCTGCCTGGGGTGGGCTTTCACACAACTTCCTCTACAGCCAGCAGTGCGTATGCAAGCGTCTCAAGCTACATGTCCAGACTCAAGCAGCACTTGCAAAGCTGTGAAGACGTAGCCTATCGCTGTCTCCTCACTATGAATATAGTAATACAGGTTTCATCTGCATATGCCTGGTTATGAAACAAAACCGTCAGTTGTGTACTATAACACCTTAAGTAACATGGAATCTTAGATTTAGAAAAATATTTTGTCAGTTCACAAGTAAAAACTATCACTATTACAAAACATCTTGTAATACTAGAGTACATAGCTTGGAAAGAATTTTGTTCTTATTGCTGTTGCACGTAGTTTTCAGGTGCTGTGTCAGCATGAAGGTATTAGTGGGTTTCCCACTTGTCATAGTCAGCTTGTAAGGGTAACTCATAGGAAGATACACTTTCCTATTTAATCCTCATGCAATTTTCACATCTGTAGGCTGCCCTGACTTTTTTCAGACATCTGCATAACTGACACCTGACACTATGTATCAAAGTCTCACACAACTTAAATTGTTTCATATAACAAATTTCACTTGCAGCCTTTAAACAAAGAACATTCACTCCAAAAAGAGTGAACACTAGCATTGACACCACCTTAGCTACTTGAAAATCCTATAACTGTGTTCTGACAGCTATCAGATATTAACTCGTTCATTTCATTTTGTTTGGTTTCTTCCTTATTTTCATGGTTGGGATGATGTTTTGGATTTCCAGCTTTTTTAGACCTTCTGAGGAAAAATTTTGTCAGTAAGTAACACAATTCAGCCACATTTAGAAGAATGCAAATGCTGGACACAGCAATCATGAAAATAGTAAAAACCGTCTTTTCAGTAGGTCGAGAAACAAAGCAGTCTACTGTGTTGGGGCAGGGCCAAGCATTACACTTCATTAAGCGAGGCATTCGGAACCCATCGTACATGAAATAAAATGCATACATGAAGACTGCTTCAAAGATCAATCTGAAGAAGATGCTGCTAGTGTACGTCCACCACAAGGAGCCCTCAATACGAAACCTCTGTTTTCTGATTTCTTCAATGTCCTTGTATTCGCATTTCTGGTCTCCCTTTCTGAACTGCCTTTTCTTCTCATGCCTTCTGTAAGCTACATGCATGGCCACCAGCAACGCAGGTGTGGAAACAAAGATCAGCTGCAGGGCCCAGAGCCTGATGTGAGAGATGGGGAAAAAGTGATCATAGCAAACATTCTTGCAACCAGGTTGCAGAGTGTTGCAGATAAAGTCATCTTGTTCATCCCCCCAGACTCTCTCTGCAGCCACAACCAGGATCATGATACGGAATATGAACAGGACTGTGAGCCATATCTTCCCGATGCTGGTGGAGTGCTTATTTACACCTCCTAAAATGGTATGCAGAGCTCCCCAATCCATTGTCTTGTTTTAATCGTCTGACCTAAGACAAGACAAAAACAAAACTAAGATTAACCAAGACGGGAATCAAATACCATCAAGCATGTGATATAAAATAAAGGCAATATCATATAATTGCAGCATATCCATTGCCTGTGGTAACTGTTTGTTGACGCAGTGGGCTTACCGATAAGCAGTCACAAATAATCTAATCTCTTATCAGCAGGTAGTATTTCATTACTTGATTACACACGTGGTATCACATTCATTCGACTGAAAACATTAAGTAGGAAAAACAGACAGGGGAAATTGATGAAAACAGCCTTAAATTAAAAGCTACAACTTCCAGTAGCCTGATAACAGTAACAAAAGAATACAAGATGACATCATATAAAAGTAAGTTAAGTATTATGTTAAAAAATAGTCTTAAGACAGCTAGAATTCCTATATAAATTAAGGAAAGTTGGCCCATCTTTAGCTTTACAGTGTAAACAATGTTTTCATGAGTACATTCCAGCAATAAAGACAGACCTTGAGGAACTGCTGCTGATGGTTTGCACCTTCCATGAACAGGTCTGGATAACCTGCATTCATAAATTTAAAAAAATACAACTGTAGGGCTTTATTGTTAGTTGTAGCAAGGTCCACAATAGCTTGAGGCAAAGAAGGTGAAGTCTTGATCATTATCCATCTCAAATTCAATGTTTAAAATCAGTGCTTAAAGATTCATCCCAAAACTGCAATCCTCACCACTAACTACAAAGAGAGCCTAGGCTAACTAGACAAAGATTCCTTCATTCTCAAGGCCTGTCAGCTGACTCCACCCCTCTTAACACAGATTGAATTACTCCTAGAATAGGGGAGGCATTTCAGAGGCTGGGAGAGTACTAAAATCACTATTTGAAGAGTTCAGACAGGCCAGCAGCTCCGACTTTTCAACAGAAGCATAGAGTTTCCAGTAGGTGAGGTTCAAAGTACTATGACTGTAATGAATTAAAGGATTTCACCTTTGTGTCCCACATACCTCATAGCCCACCACAATTCCCTGGGTTTGCTCAGCTTCCACAAATAGCAGCAGCCTTTCACAGAGAGCATTCAGAGGCATTTCAGCCCACCTGCCCTCACCCCTCCACTTCAGATGGATTTATGGAAAGTTAGTTTGCAAGCTACTCTGAAATCAAGAAACCAGCAATTCCTGTGCCTATCAGCCAGGACCCTAAAAGTGCTCACAGATCTCTTTGCTCTGAAATTCCTCATGAAGGTTTCTATTTCTCAACTTTGTTAATCCGTTTCTACCAGGGAGGCCATCTTTCTTAGGCATTTACAGCACAGGGCACCAATAAGCAAAATGGCATTTTCCAGGTTTCTAGAGAAGAGCAGCCACTGGCGCAAAGGCCATAATATCCATCACGTGACAGATTTTTTTTTTTTTAAAGGTTTTCCCAACTCTGAGCTGGGTCACATTGCACGAGGAAGTATATGAAGACATTTCTTTGCAGTTGTCTTCCACTTTACACTCCCATTCTGAGTAATGTCAAAAAACCTTTCTGCTTTACAGCAGAATTATGTATGATCATTAAGTCACATGCAATAATACAGAGCATCAGTCAAAGTACACCACCGCTCAGGGAAAATGAAGACATTTAATTGTTACATGAATACAAAGTTGTTTTTTCTTCTCCAGTTATTGGAATGTAAGGGTAATCTCCCTTTACTGGTTCCATGAACTACATTTCCCTCAGATCATGCTGGTTGACTGTGTGGGGTTATACTTCAGGAAGTAAAAACCAAGGCAGGGGGAACCCAAGATTTTCTCTGGATTGGAGAAAACCTTTCCTGAGCCTCCTTCAGGATGCAGAATCTATGTGGGCTATTACCTCTGCATCTGTCTGAAAACGGTCCTGGAAGCAGAGTTACCATACTATCCTGCTAGGTTATTTTTCCAAGAAGAAACTTCATTTTTCACTAATATATAGATATAGAGAAAGTCTCCATAGGTTAACAACCCTATGAGGGCACTGGAAAGACCGTTAGTACCAGAGATACGTACAAAACATACTAGCCAGATTTTCAAATACTTGTTTCCACCCCTTTTTCTGCCATCTGATTTTTCATCAAGCAGATCAGCCTTTGTTTCAGGATTTGCTTTGGCAATCATTGTATGTTAAACAGAGTAACAGTTACAACTTTATTAGTGTTTTTATTAGTGTTCTCTGTTACTATTACACACACATTGCAATTACAGTACTTATAAAATGACACTACAATTAAGTACTATGACTAGAAATACTTATGCACAGTTGAATACAAATCCTGTAGAAAACTGGCACCATGTAAACTGTGGTATTACACACATCATTCACCCATCCTTTAATTCCAGACTCCTTGCACTTCTCTCAGTCATTGTTCCTTCTTCTCCCTGCCTGTCAGCCATGTGGGAAGTAGAACCTGTGTATCCCCTCCTCATAAGCCCTTATGCTTCACCTCTCACTCTACACCAGTACTGCTGCCTTTGTGTTATCACAACTTCACAAGGATTTGTTTCCACAAGCAATCACTCCTTTGTCTCCCTGTGCAGAAGGGGATTCAAAACATGAGTGCCTCAGGGTGTAGTTAAAGGGCACCTTGTCTTCAGTGGCAAAGTTAGCTCAAAGATGCTTCCCCACCATTTGCTCCTGAGGTCACAGTGCAGTTCTCCACCTCCTGCAACTTTGTGGGGGTGCATTATAAACCAGGTGGCTTGTTCAAAGTTATTCCCAGTACTAGTATGTTTTGTTTCTTTTAAACTTGATCCATTTCACCAATCTGCTTTACAGCACAGACCCACAAAGCATCTGAAAAGCACAACTTCATTTAGAGAAAAAACAGGCTACAAATTGCAAAGCAGGAGTAAGAATGAGCAGTCAGTGGAGAAGAAGAGTTGGCAAAGCTTTATTGCAGAGGACAACACACTGTGAAACTACACTCTTCATCTGACTTACCCCATCTCCTTTGAGAGTATTTTGTGCTTGCTAAGCCAAAACATGGTGCTTCAATTCTAGCAAAAGCATGTCTGCACCTGGATCGATGTAGAAAAAGCCACCACAGTTTGGAGAGGCAGCCTTTCACCCTGAGTCCCCTAGTGAGATTTCTTCTCCTTTCCAAAAAAACCCCTTTGTCTTTTATACCTGCCCAAACCCTCCCCCTTCACCATTCCCACCTACCTTCCCAAATGCTTCAACTATCTTCAGCTCTCCCTGTCACCATCCCCTATTATCCCTGCTGCTTGCCAAGCTAGTCACCAACCTTTGCCCCTTCTTGCTGTGCCCTCATGGCCTCCCAGGCTTGTTTTTATGCTGGTGGAAAGTCATATGACTTCTGGGACACTCCAGAGATTGATACAGGCACTGATCAGATACCAGTAAAGTCTCACTATCTTCTCCCTGGCACAGTTAAGATTGTAAGGCCATATTAAGGCAGCCTGAATTCCACCCAAACACTTTGGCCCCAACGTTTCCTACTAGCTGGCTTTAAACAACTCTTAATCAATTTAGAGGATCTAAAGAAGGCAATTCAGAGACTGCTGAAGTGCCCACCTCTCCAATAAACAGACACAGTGGCCTAAGCAGAATTTAAGTTAACCAAGTATGGTCCTTCACACTATTAAGCCATCAGTGCAGACCACTCCAGCTAAACATCAAGTTTGGGCTATATGTACTGATGCGATGGCTCATTTACTCCTAACTTACTCAAAAGCTAGGATGTTGATTCATGATCATAGGTTATCTTTCTTCCAGATACTAGTAAAAAGGTCTTAAAAGCAAGTAAGTAAAATATTAACTGCCTTGCTGACCAAAGGAGAAGAAAGCAAGAAAGCTACTTCCCTTTAATGAGTACTAACTCTTATCTTCATAGAGCCAGACCAGATACTATTTCTATGTGTGCAAATCCAGCTAAATGCCTACAGAAATAACAGTATGTAGACAGTCAAAACTTAGCTGCTTTGCTGGCCTCGGAAGTACAGCACATTACAAAAATAAAGAAGATTAAAATAAACAAAAAGACATGAAAACTTAGGGTTTTTTTTTTTTGGAAAAGTGAAGTAGGAATGAGGATAGGGACTAGTTATAAAGGAAGAGGCTAGGAAGAACGGAAGATAGCTGAAGACAAGGAGGTTGAGTAACTGAGCATTTAAAACCCATTCTAACATGGAAGTGTATTATCTTTAAGTGTTAAATTTTCCTTTAAAAAATTGCAACTGAGCACAAAAATAAGTCTTTCCAAGCCTCAGCACAGATCTCTGTTCTGCTACCAGCTGAACCTTCTGTTCCATTTCAGCAATCACGATAGTGTATTACAATAATGATAGTGATACAGTAGGAATAAAAAGATCATAAAAGATCACCATGTTCCACTGAAAAGTTAGTTACAAGGGAAATGGTTCTATATGACCACACAACACAGAGGCATATAAGCAGATATTTAGTTTTGGGGTTTTGTTGGGGGGAGGATGGGACGGGAGGGGGGACGGTGTTTGTTGTTTTCACTGTTAGGCTAGACAGCAGCAAAAGAACTACAATTTAACTATTCGTGTAGTTCTCCAGCTTCTGGGCAGTGTTGTTTTGAAACTTGTGCTACCATGGCTAGACTGCCTTCTAGTTTAAAGCTAGCTCCTGTAAGCCTACATTAAACCACAATCACAGTGCGGCGCATACACCCAGTGAAAATCCCTGCAGTTCACAACACTGAGGACAATTACCATTGAGCTCCTGTGTTTATGAGTACAGCTCATTAGCAGATGCTTTTTTGACTGTTAAAGACTGTTACACTGGGAAATCATTAGTCAATGGTTAAATACACAGCTAGAATACAAAGGTGTTCTACCAACGATAGAAACAGAAGAAGATACATTACTTTCACATATACAGCATGACACTTACTGCTATAGGATATTATCAAGCAAAAGAAGTAGTCATTAGCAAGTGCTATAATATTTGCTTATGCTGTAGGAACATTTAGGAGTCCCAGGCAAGAAGGGGTCCACAGTATGCTAATTTA